CTTTATTATTCTAAAAGCCTTCTCTGATAAAGTAATAACTTTTGATCCCTTATGATGCTTATATACAGTAACAGTCTTGCAAAAGAAGAAAATTGTTTTGTTTGTGCAACGATGCATTAGGAAGCATACTATTTCTGTATATCAACCCATTTCTGCTCAAATTCCTGGGATGTACAGCGTCACCTGAAGTTCATTATTGGTCATGATATCAAGTTTTAACGGCATGGTGGCACAGTAGTTAGCTCTGCTGCCTTGCCACTCTAGGGGTCGGGTTTCAGGTTCAAGTTCTGGACCTGGACTGCTATCATGTGTTGTGGAGTTGATATGTTCTCCCCATGTTCACGTGGGTTCTCAAGCTACCTCCCCAACCACAAAACATACTAGTATGTATGTTAATTGGCTTCTGGGAAAACAGGACCTTGGTGTGAGTGTGTCTGTGTTTGAGTCTCTGTCTCTGCCCTGAGATAGACTGGTGTCTTCCTCCCAGTGTTTGCTGGGAGAGGCTTTGCTTCCCCACAACCATGAATTTGAGGAAGTGGTTAGTAAACGGATGGATACAATTTTAAATTATAGTATAATTTATAAGGATAATAACATCCTGTAAAGTAAAGTTAGCATTTAATTAAGAGGCAATGGCTGATGATTTCTTTTTTCTGAATGGATATGTCATGTTAAAATAAACACTGGAAATGAAGAAATTCTATATCCATATCCTAAGGTTAGAAAAGAAATCTATGAGTTTATAAACTAGAATTTTTCTGCTAATCAATGAAAGCTAGAGAAATTCCAGGGGAGCTGAAGTTATATGATATCAATGTACAAAAATGTAATGTATTGGAGAATGTATTGTAACAGCTAATTACAGGTAAATCGATTTAACAGGCTTATCCTAAAATACAGGAACAAGTTAGATAATAATGCAGTAATGCTGTTATTGGAAACTTATAGTAGCTAGGCAAAGCATTCTCCTCAGCAACATCTTGCTTAAAGAATTTAAATTTTTTGAATAACCCAAAAAATGTATGGACACATATAGTGTAGGTCCTATTACGTTGTGTATCTGGGTTGTCAGAAAATGATAGACAAGGTTCCCAACACATAGCTCATTCTTAAACTAAAAGCTTTGGGAATAAATGGTGTGCCTCATAAATAAACTCAAATTGACTACTGCTCTTCTTTCTCCATATGAAAGATACCGTCATTAGCCAGTTAGACTTTCTGCTGATACACAGATCAGGGGAAGGGCAAGCAACAACATAGAGTTAGGTGCACATAGGAAGATGAGGAAATGATTAAGAATTGAGCAGATACTGTACAGTACCTGGAAAATTAAATTCAAATATTATTAAAAGAGGTTCATATACTGTAGGTAAAAAAACAATTGGACATACTTAAACTAATGGGCCATGGAGAGTTACACAGTGAGAGGTAAATTAATCATTTTCAGCATCTATGCAAACAAAAACAAATGTTTGCTTACATTATGGAATACAAGTCCAGAGCAGTTATGTTGGGTCTGTAGAATGCTTTAGACCACATTTTATATATGATGCTGGTTACTGACACAGTAGTTACATTTTAGACTGAACTGAAACATACAGTAAAAAGCCTCTTTTTGAATATTTGCTGTGTTTAATATTGTGTGTCATACTCTAAAGCATATTCAAAAATGTATTGTGTATGCAAAACACACATTAGACTTTCTCAAAACTGTAGATTCATCCATGTTTTCTTGGAACAAGCTCTTGTCAAAACAAAATCCTCCAAACAATATATCTGCTTATTACAAATTCTCAAGGCTTGACATTTACCTGATAGCAGACAAAATTGGATTCTTGGATTAGCAGTGTACCCCTCTTGTTTTTATATAATGTCATAATGTAGCTGGAACCAAAAGGTTTATGTTTGTAAACTATGCTTACTGAAACATACCAACGTTAGTTTTTACTGAAGATCACAGATCCAGTAACCTTTTGTGTTACATCCAGTTAGAGTTTCAACATTTTGAAAAAAGTAGACGAAAAAACTTTAGTTTTGTAAATTAGTCTACACTTCACTTCCTCTTTCATGTAATAGCACTTTATGCTTAGTCTACACTGCATTCTGTGCTTGTAGCATTTTTTTACAGCTGGTGATTTACACTGGCTCCAGTATATGACAGTGGAACAGATGCATTTTACATTGCCTATTGCATAAATAATACAGAGTCCTCAACTTTTCCTCAACAGATTTTTTGAAAGATACTATGATATTTGAAAGATATTACCGAGTTGTAATCAAACAACATATTCAATATACAACATATTTTTCTGTTCAATATCAATAAAATAATGTTACATTGTGTTTAATACGTATTTAAAATTATATCTGAATTCCATGTTAATACTGTATTATATAGTTAATTATATACAGTACTCCAACTGTGTGTCAATTCCAGACTAGATCTTTTTTGTGATGTAATTGTATGAAGGACTGCTGATGAAGAATGCTTTGTACACTTCCACTTTAACAGTAAGTTTTATGTGGTTGATTTGTTTCAACTTTTCACTGAAAGCAACATGTTCCTGACTTGGTGAAAGTCTTGATTTGACAATGCACAGCTGGTACTGGTCATGCACCAGACTGACATCTTCAGGAAACTAGGAGCGATTGAGATCATCTGGACCCTTACAAACATCCTATAATTTACTAGGGGGTAGTGCACCTTTGAGACAGTATTGGGATGGAATATGAAAAACAAATATCTACCTTGCGTCATATACTGTAGCTAACTTACTGTAGGTGTTAAGGAATATATGAATTGTAAGATAATCGTATACCGGTCAGGTAAACGCTGTGCAGCAAGACTTTCCCTAATTGACTGATTGGATTCTGCTGATTGATAATGGCTCCTAAGACTAACCACCACAAAGGTAGACTTACCAAAAATGTAATCTTTCTTACCAAAAATATTGAACAAATTTCAGAGATCCCAACGTGCCACAAAAGAATATGGTGACAAACTTCTAGATCTCTAACTATGACTGAATGCTGCTTCTCTCCTGATCACTGAATTATCCACATAATCTGATTTAAGGACTATGGATCAATCTAAACTAGATAACAGATCCGAAAAACAACCTTGGAGTGATCTTCAGTCTAGAGCAGTCTGGGAAGCACCACTGTAATTATGTGACATTATCAAAGCCATCAAAGCCATGCAAAATGGTAAATCCCCAGGTCCACTTGGTTGCTTAATTGAATTATATATGTTGTCCTCAGTGTAATGGCCATTGCTGGACTTTTACTAAATATTTTCAAATGGACTTCTTTAAACCACAAGAATTTCAGTTTTGCTTTAGCAACATACACTCTTTTATGTGTTTCATACAGCCCTATTTCACCTTTAAATTGAGATATTAAGATTTTTGGAAACAATCTAGTATTTTTGTCAGAAATGCTTATCCCTACAATAATTTCATATAACCAGACAGTAATTTTGCATTACCTGACAGGCAGAGGTAAAGGTAGACATACTCTTTCTATATTTATTTTTAGAAAGATTATTAAAATGTATATATATTTTCATATTGAAATCCTATTTTGCTTAGACGCTGAGAAGGACTTTAACAGAGTAGATTGCATCACTTCAAATTTAGAAGAAGTTTGGTTTTGGCCCAGTACTTGTATCATTGATTAAATTATCACATTCCTTTCCTTTGTTTTCAGTACACATCAATAATTGTCATTCTGCATTGTGGCATTGGACAGGGCTCTGTTCTTTTTTGCCCTTATGGCTAGCTGGTCTTTAATGACATACAGTACGATCTGCCATTAGAGTCCACTAATGGCGTTTAACTATTGTAAAAAAGATTCCCTTGACGTTTATTAGGTAATTAATGTACTGCTGGTGAATGGTTAGATTCCACATTCTTACATGGGGTGATTTATGATGTGTTAGTGTAGAAATTGGATTTTCCCATGTTAGTCAGGGTTGGGTTTAGGCAGCAGTCAACCTGCTATAAGAGTTTAGAGGTAGATAAGGAGGCTTATCTCATACATACCATGAGTCCTTGGCGTGTAAGACTTATTAATTCTGCACTAAAGCCTATTTTACCTTGAAAACATTACCATTATTTTTATGTGTTCAGATCCCTGGAGCCCCTTATCTAAGTGCAGCATCTGTCACATCCCTTCTAAATGATCGGATTATATACTGCTTTCTCATTATAGTTCAAACCCTTTGGTTCAACAACACTTAAGACAGGTACATCAGGTACAAAGGTATATATATATACACCATTGATCCTGTTCACACAGAGGGTTTAAATATGAATGTTTCTAATGTTACCTGAGAGTCTGTACTCCCAGTGCTGGCTATTTTCTTTAAAGTAAATAATGACCAAGCAGAATTTGTATGTATTATTTTCCAAAAGAGGTTGGTTTTATCTGCTATTAGGACGGGATGAGGACAATGTGAAGGTCAAATAAATATGTTCATCTATAAAATATTAAGAGGGTATACGTACTTTTCACCAGGCTGTATCTTGATTTTGACCCAAGATGCAACAGACGGAAGCAGGCTTCTGCTAATCTTACCCACACGTACTGGTCATGTCCCCAGTTGGTTCCATTTTAATATTTATCTAGTTTGACGAAGTGCTCCTTATAATCCGCTTATAAGGTTATAACAGAGTTACAATAGAGACTTTGCTATAAATTATTTGTAAAATGCTTTGGGAGCATTGTGGGATGAAATGCTCATTCTAAATATTATTAATTTTGAAATTAACCACTATAAACACTTTTCCTCCAAAATCATCTGTATTCATATTTAAAATAAATATTTTTGCATTGCATTGCTCTCTTAGAAGAGCAATGCAGAAAGACAGATAGCCTGCTTAATGTTTTACATAGAAAAAAAAATAATTTGTAGAATTAATAGAGGAAAAATAATTAATTTGCTATTTATTTGTTTTTTAGCTTCTGTCTCACTAATTATGTAAATCTTCCTTCTCTAGATACACAAAGATGAAGACTGCAACCAACATTTACATTTTTAATTTAGCAGTGGCAGATGCTCTGGTTACCACCACAATGCCTTTCCAGAGTACCGATTATTTGCTCGGATCATGGCCTTTTGGAGAAGTGGTCTGCAAAGTGTTTATATCAATCGATTATTACAACATGTTCACCAGTATATTCACACTGACCATGATGAGCGTTGATCGGTACATCGCTGTCTGCCACCCTGTCAAGGCCCTTGATTTCCGCACTCCAGTAAAGGCAAAGATGATCAACATCTGTATCTGGATACTCTCCTCGGCGGCTGGCATTCCTGCTCTGGTACTGGGAAGCACTCAGACTAAGGATGGTGAGTAACAACTTAACTAAGTGTTTTATTTCTGTGAAAATAATTGCTCTGAAATGAATTTCATGTTTCCTTCTAGTCTTCCATTCTATTGTTAAAGTAAACTTATCAACTGTTTCTCACATGCGGTTTCAGGAGAGGAATCTAATGCAGATAGTTTTCATTAGGTTTCTCTATAAATAGGTAAACAACACAGGAGAAGGTGCCTTTACAGTAGTTAGGGCATCCAATGAATTTCAGTCACCCCGTCGACTTGGGGTTAAACAAAATAGGTATACCATATGGTCTTTCGCTTTGGAAGTTCATATGAATACCTACCAACAGCAAGTTCACTCTTCAAGGAACCAGGGTTCCATTGGGAAAGAGGTGGGAGCTCTCCTGTGGATCGAGCAATTTTACCTGCTTGTTCGGGCTTAAGGAAACCAGTTAAGTCGGAAACAAAAGGGGAATCCAGGTAGGCCAGTGCATTATAGACCATATTACAGATAGACAGTGATTTTATTCCATCAGGCTTGCTCCAGCCTTATCCCCAATCCCAGAATTCTCTTTAGTTCAGGTGGTTAATGCAAGCAAGTCCTCCTATGCCATATAACTGGTTAATGGGAACCCTACCATAGAGCTCTAAGAAACAGCTTCACGTAAACTGCACTGATTGTTGAAATTCACTGTTGAAGTTCTCTTAAAAAAAGAAACTTATATTAGATGTTTTGCAATCACTGATAGCATCATTTTTTCTTGTTAACAGGCTTTCTATCATTGTGTTATCACCAATTGTTCTGGCTGATGGCTGAAGCATTACAATTATGTTATTCTGGTTTAGTCCCCATACTCTGTCAAGCTTTTTCTCTCAGTGGATTTAGATAAAGGTTTGCAGTACTTTTCATATTCAGTAGCTCATATTTTTTAGGATCTTATCTTTTAAATGTTTCTGTAGAGCTGCACCTGGTTCTAATTTATTGATGTGTGCATTTGATAGATAAGTAAGCTTTCATTGCATTTGGATGAACCTAATTTCTCATGGGTACTGAATGGTAAGACTCATGAAGATAGAGTACAGAGTAATGCTCAGGCTGAAGTCCTACATTTATGATTTGTATTCACTCTTAAACTTTTTAATCCTTTTCATTTATTTTTTATTATTTTTTGTTCTTATACAGCTATCTGTATAATTAAATTTACTGATCATTTGACTCTGCCTTTCATGTCAATTATATGGTGAATCACACCATGAAACAGGGTGATGTTGGATCAGTACTACATACTGTAACTATGGTTTTCAAGTTACTTTACCACTAAATAGATAAGCTATAAAATTCAGTATTTAAGTTTTAATTATTTTAATTTGCAATGTACTGTACCATATCCCTATAGGTAAGTCAGTGTTCCCACTTTAAAATGATATGTAGTTTGGAAAAAGTGTTGGACCAGTCCTTATTTTATAAAAAGAAGTACCTTTATTTTGAACAATGTATGAGAAGAGTTTTGTCTGACACTGTGCTCACATAGCAGAACTGTATTGTACTGGTATACTTGAACTGTACTGGATGGTATACTTCATTATTTTATCTCTTTTTCTCTTCCAAAATCACCATGAACATGTATTAATCTAAGACAAAAATAATGTGTTGTAGAATTTTAACCACAGTTTTTCCAGTGTGATAAATACAATACAGAATTAATTTAATCATTAGACAATGGTATGGTAATGGTCATTTTTTGCATTGACAAATTGTTTTCACAATAAATAGAATGCCAAGTTATCCATTGGTTAAACCACTAGATTTGAACCATACAATATAACTACTTACTACTAATTTAACATAAGCTCTGTGATGGCTGACAATACTTAACCATACAATAGATTAATTAAGACCAGATATATAGAGTTAAAAGATAGAAATAAGAACTACCATAATTTCAGTTCTAATAAAGATTTGACAATACCTAGAATATGATTAAGTAAAAAACTAAATATTGTTTTCAATAGTGTGTGCTATTTAACAATGCAGTAAAGTATTCCAAAAACTGTTCTTTCTATACCAGTTGTGTTTATTTAAAATTTCCTGGAACAAACAATTTTTTAATCATTTAGACTTTTTTGTTTATGTCACAGGTTTTGATTATTTTTTCTGTTTTAAACACTGAAAATCATTTTTCACATACCATCTCCATGTAGTACTTCGTGTTGTGCACTATCCCTATAAAGATTCAAATAAGTGGAAATGTTATGTACAGAATGCATTATAATTCCCATTGTATTTTTATATACATTTCATAGGTACTACAGAATGTGCTTTGCAGTTTCCAGACCCCTACGTATACTGGGACACTCTAATGAAGATCTGTGTTTTTATTTTCGCCTTTATTGTGCCTGTGCTCATCATCACTGTGTGCTACACCTTAATGATACTCCGTCTGAAGAGCGTTCGACTCCTGTCCGGCTCCAGGGAGAAGGATCGGAATCTGCGTCGCATCACAAAACTCGTGCTGGTGGTGGTGGCAGTTTTTATCATCTGCTGGACTCCTATTCACATTTTCATCCTCGTCAAAGCCCTCACTAATGTTCCAGAAACCACCTCTTTGATGGGAGCCTATTTTTTCTGTGTGGCCCTTGGATACACCAACAGTAGCCTCAACCCCATTCTTTATGCATTTCTGGATGAAAATTTCAAAAGATGCTTTAAAGACTTTTGCTGTCCCTCCAAACTAAAGGCAGACCGACAAGGTGGTAACAGGGTGAAGAGTGTAGTGCAAGATCCCGGCTTGCCCCAGGAAACTGTTGATGGGACGAATAAGCCAGTATGACTAGCAGTGGAGTTATCCTCCTTCTCCCCCCATGGAAGAGAAGATTCAAATGATCTTGGGCTAACCCAGGTCACGTCTGCGGTCTGAATGTTAAAATGACAAACTTCATTTAAACCACAAAAGTGGAATTATTTTTAGAAGGGTTTCAATTTAAAGGTTTGATATACTTATTAATGAATTAGTGAATATTGCCTGATGCTTCAAATATGTTTAAGGTTTGTACGATTATCTCATTAAGGACCATCAATACTAAAAAAGCAAAGATAAATGAGCACTCACACTGAGAATGAGGAGTCCAATTATTAGTGGTCAAATTGCACGCAAAATGCTCAGTTCAATAAAATATCATGTGGTTAATTCCTTTAAAAAACTTTTAAAATATCTTAAATGCATTTCTTATGGTTCCTCTAATACAGTACTGAAAAATTTATTCATATCTTGTTAATTAAAGTCTGTTAATCATGCCTAAAAGACATTCTGGTATGCTCTGCCTTGGATTTCCTTTTGGGGTATTATCATCACATGTCAACTTTTCAATCCATCCCAGACATCCTCTGAGTGTATAAAAGAAACTGGGGAGGAAGCTCACACACCTCTCTTGCACCCCATTTACAGCCCTGCAACAACTCCCTGGCTCAATACTTACAATAGTGAAGGGGGGTCTAGGCAGTGTGGCTACACTTACATTCCCACAGCTAGCCACATTCACTTTTTCCCCTCATAGCCCACAGACAAGCTGGTAAGTTAATTGGCTTCTGGGAAACTTCTCCCTGGTTCAATTATGGCCCTAGTGTGAGTGTGAGTGTGAGTTTGTGACTCTCTGCCCTGAAATGGATTGGTGTTCCCTTCAGGGAGTACCAAGCCTTGCATGTGTTGGACAGGCTCTGTATCCCCGTTGACCCTCAATTGGAAGAAGCAGTTGGAAAATGGATGGATGGATAAGTACTCAAAAACTAAAATGAATAAAAGTTGATATAAAAAGTTGGTATAAAAAACGTCGATATTAGAATCCCCTCAGAAACCCTTGTAATAATGATTTCTCAAATGACAAATATGTACTAAGATTGATGATGTGATGTTGTTCATTATGACAGAACATTTCATTTTGCAATGAATGCGCATGGTGGGAACACAGAAGAACCACTGAACTATAAAGCAGCACCATCTCTGTTTGAAATAAGCATGCAAATAAGCATGTTACAAGTAAAGCAGCTACATTAACAAGCAGGTATAATACGATTTGGGGGTTTTGATATAAATGAAATACAGTAAACACAATTACTCACTGATATACCATTGACACCCTCATGAACATATAGTAATATCACACTATGGGAAAACATACAATATGTATATTGTTTCTGGAAATATGCATAGACAAATATAAATTGTTGTCTCACTGCAAATAAAAAAATAATGGGCATACATTATGATTAAATTCTATGTAGTATAAATAAAGAGTTTACAAAATTAAAAAAGGAAATATAGGACACCTATTTCTTGAAAGTGCATACTTTGTTCTTTACAGGTTAAATATTACAATTCTCAGGGAATTTTGGCATAGGTAAAAATAAAAAATGACACTTTGCCTTTCATTTTAAATGCTGGGGAGAACAATGTAGTCCAACCTAATGCTGAGACTTCAATGATGGCATTCTTTGACATTGCATCTTGAGTTTTTGGGACAATGTGCTAAGGAGCTATTATTTTTCCCCTATATTAACAGGCCACAAGTGCCCTTCTCTGTAATGTCCAGGATTTATCATACTTTCAGTTCCCAAGTCTGAAAAAATTGCCAAAGAATTGAATTATTTTATAACAAAGAGAAGACTGTAATTCTTTCAGCTGCTAAATTTAATTAAAATTGTACAGATATGTAAAACCCTGAAGGTTAACTTGCTGCTTTATGGTACCAGACATTATATTGACAATTTTAGATAGTGTGATGGTTTTCTGTTAGTGTGCTTTAAAGTAAACATGAGGTTTTTAAGTAAATATTAATTATGTTGTAAACAAATACACTGATACTGCTTTGACTGTGGTCTGTCAAAAGTGTGATTATATTACCATTATGTGTAAGTGCAACATAGCATGATGTCTGAAAGAGACTTCATTCACAAGATTATATTTAACTGTATGATAATCCTGGACTAGAATGTTAACCTGAAATTTGTCAGAGGGCTTTAAATCACGTTTATACAAATGTGTCTTAAAAGTCTATTTTTAATTGTTATATACACTATCAGGATATGGTCAAATCAGAAATGTAAAAAAGGGAATCATTTAAAAAAAATGTATACACTGATAATTCACTGATTCATTTCTGACTTTTTTTTTCCATGTGCACAGTATTGTTAAAAATGTTAAAAGGTCTGTTGTACATATATATATATACAACAGTGAATATATATTTTCAGAGTAAATTCACTGACTGAAAATGTGTAAAATGATGCTGAAAATCTTGAGACTTTTCTGAGCATGGGCCTTTTTTGTTGTGGAATGATAAATGTCTGGCAAGACAGATAATACAAAGACAACAGGTAACACAGCGATACCAGCTGAAGATTATGTCGTGATAGGAGCACCTGTTTCCATGACAGTAGTCCAGCACTGCCATGGATTTTCAGTGTATTCTTTAAATGTTTTGAAACCGATTTCAGAAGGCTGCATTAACTAACAACTTTGCCCCTTACTCCTAGTAGAGTTCCTGGGCCATTTTAGTTGACATTATCTTGTGTTACAAAGACAGGACAAAAGAAAAACCCACAAGGCTTTAACAGTCATCTGATATCTGAAATTGACAAGATGTTTAAATGAACAGCTTTTAAAATATAGTTTGTCAGTAGCAGGGGAATATCCCCTGAAAAGGTTGATTTACCAAGATAAATTGCTGAGAGACATTTGGCTACAAGTTTATTAACGCACTTGAGAAAGTGTAATCTACAATGTAAAAATTGTTAGTAAAAATACTGTGAGAGTGCATTCAGTGGTTATTTCATAACTAGGTGAAATGTGAAAATGTATTTGTCAGTACTGAGATAAAATATTTTGCCTCTCATACCTCAAATATTGGAAATTGTGATGGCCAAAAACGTTTATTGATTTTGTCCATCTGAATCATTTGGCAGACACTTTGGAGATATATATTATGTCCAGCAGCATTCTCCCTGTTGGAGCTTCTTGCTAGAGACAACAAGGTTTTGGGATAAAATATCCTGGTAAACTCAGTAATCCAAGTTTTCCTCCACTCTAATCACGAAATCAAACACTAAAAATATATTCATTTATATTTATCTAAGAAGGAATGGCATTTTTTTTTCAACATTAGTTTCACTTTTTGGTGTTAACAACACTTCCAGTGAAAACTCAGTTTTGGACATTCTACTGTACCTGTATGTTGTCATGGAACTCCATAAGCAAATCTAGCTTCATGGTCAAGCTCCAAAATTATACAGCACTAGAGTGCTCTGTAGATTCCATTTGTTGTCCATTTTGTGAGTTATCCTTCCAAACCACATTTCTGACTACACTAGTAAAATCATTTTCATATTCTCTCACTGCTGGAGTATTAGCCATCCCATTAGTTTTGAAACTCTTGGTAAAAACGCCACAATTTAAACCATCATGGCTTATTTACTGTATAGCCATCACTAGTGTTATTAAGGCATATAATGCTTTATTTAGATATTAAGACATTTTTGGGAGAAAATTATATTGAGTTTTTTATGTTTAACTTTCTTCAAAACCAATTTATAATCAAGATGAATTCAAGTAGCTTCTATAAACTGAATTATTTGATTATTTAAAATATTTACAGAGTAAGAATGACCATGACAATTATCAGAAAGATGTGTTTTGGTATTTGTTGTAGTTTTGCTAAAACCAACTCAAGGATACATTGCATCAAAATGATGAAATAAATTTAGGCTACTATTTGATGTTTTCTGGCTACCAAAATCCAACAAAATATTTGGTTAATGTTGTATTAAAATTATTAGAAAACTTCAGCAATTTGACTTTAAATACACTGTAAAGTGTTTTGTATATATGCTTGTAGCGGTCTTTGCTATGTACTCTTACAGTTCTGGATGCATTTACATTAGTTTTGTAACAAAATATGCTGCATAATGACTTGGTTTTGTAAGAAAATGTATTGTACAATGACGTCCGCTTCTTTTAACTGTAAACATAAATATCCTGTAATATAGAATATATTTACTGAACTGTGGAGTTTAATATATGGAAATGTTCAACCAAAACATGCTGTTTATATTGCTGTATATATATCATTGACATAGTCTTTGTATTTTGCCAGTCGAGATTTTTCAATATTTGAAATGCAGATCTACTGTATGACACTCTGCCTAATGGGCAACTTCAGAGGTTTGGGAAATAAAAGGAGGATTAGAACCATTGACAAATAAGTGAAGTTTTGTTTTGTGTTATTTAAATGTAGAATTAATAATTTCACTTGGGATTTTGTGGTATCAGTTATGACGATTTTCTGGTCAAGAATGTTTTCAATTTACACCAGTCCTTTGTCTTTTCAGTTTAGGAATACACTCCATTTTCTTATTTCTAGGTTGGATAACCAACTAAATTATAATTCACCAAGCTTAAAACAACACAATCTACAAATTATTCATGCCATGTGCACTAATTCATGTTTAAAAAGCATTAGCAATCAAACATTTGTCAAACTGATGTATAGACCCGTTATTTTCTATTTTGAATAGCATAGTTATTGTGAAAGTTACAGTACTGTATATGACAGATTGCCTATAATTTATTAAGGTGTGTAACTTGTTTTTTACTCTGGTTATAGAGTTGTGTTATTTCAAGTCCCATGATTTTTCTATTACTTCTCTGACATTTCACTGTTTAAAATTTAATTCCTAAAGTTGCCAGAAATAAATATTGTTCATGGTATATTCTTTTATAATAAAAAACATGTAATAAAAGTATTATGTTATTTATTAAGAGTTGAGATATTCCAGAGAGTCAAGCAAAAGTCCATAGTTTACTAAACATAAAAAATGTCTCTTAAATTCTTAAAATTTTTAAGAAGTTTTAATAATTTGACAGATATTTTAAAAATAGTTTACTTAATAACAACCTCGGATCATTCAAACTAAATGGTCTGTAATATGTCTAGAAATTGATAAATTATTAGCAAAAATCAATTAGCATGCTTCATTTGATTTGATGTATGAGTGTTGTTAACATTATAAGTTAAAAATCAATTATGAGATTTTAAGTGTTATTTAACCAAGCTAATTTGTAATTGTATCAGAGTCTGTAGTCTCTGCAGTTCCTTTCTGTCTATAACACTTCAGCCTTCACATCAATTTGGAAAAACTTTATCTTTAGCGTCATCTGTACATAAAACCGTCTTCCAAAACATTACTAAAACATCTTCATACTTCCAACAAAATCCAAAGAATGTAGAAGTGAGTCCCATGGCCTTGACCTGCATAGCCATCTCTGGAGCTGGTTCAATCATTAATAAAAATGATGGCTACACCAGAATGAATTCTGAGATTTATTTAAAATGATTCTTGTGATTTCAGTGGGTCACTGACTAAATGACTTCGATATCGCAAACGGATGTCCTGCCAAACATTTTTAACTTATTTAAGCATGGTGTCCAAATGCTTACAGGCACTATAAATCACTGGACTGAACATCAAGTATGGTTTTGTTCTAAAACAGTTCTAATTTGTTGTGTTTTACAGTATACTGTATCAAAATAAACAAGTCCAAAGAGACAGAAATAATACTGTATCAAGATACTGGCTCAATACTTACAATAGTGAAGGGGGGTCTAGGCAGTGTGGCTACACTTACATTCCCACAGCTAGCCACATTCACTTTTTCCCCTCATAGCCCACAGACAAGCTGGTAAGTTAATTGGCTTCTGGGAAACTTCTCCCTGGTTCAATTATGGCCCTAGTGTGAGTGTGAGTGTGAGTTTGTGACTCTCTGCCCTGAAATGGATTGGTGTTCCCTTCAGGGAGTACCAAGCCTTGCATGTGTTGGACAGGCTCTGTATCCCCGTTGACCCTCAATTGGAAGAAGCAGTTGGAAAATGGATGGATGGATAAGTACTCAAAAACTAAAATGAATAAAAGTTGATATAAAAAGTTGGTATAAAAAACGTCGATATTAGAATCCCCTCAGAAACCCTTGTAATAATGATTTCTCAAATGACAAATATGTACTAAGATTGATGATGTGATGTTGTTCATTATGACAGAACATTTCATTTTGCAATGAATGCGCATGGTGGGAACACAGAAGAACCACTGAACTATAAAGCAGCACCATCTCTGTTTGAAATAAGCATGCAAATAAGCATGTTACAAGTAAAGCAGCTACATTAACAAGCAGGTATAATACGATTTGGGGGTTTTGATATAAATGAAATACAGTAAACACAATTACTCACTGATATACCATTGACACCCTCATGAACATATAGTAATATCACACTATGGGAAAACATACAATATGTATATTGTTTCTGGAAATATGCATAGACAAATATAAATTGTTGTCTCACTCAGTGACCCACTGAAATCACAAGAATCATTTTAAATAAATCTCAGAATTCATTCTGGTGTAGCCATCATTTTTATTAATGATTGAACCAGCTCCAGAGATGGCTATGCAGGTCAAGGCCATGGGACTCACTAATTTGTTGTGTTTTACAGTATACTGTATCAAAATAAACAAGTCCAAAGAGACAGAAATAATACTGTATCAAGAATCTATAAGTTTTTTCAGAAGAACACAAACTCTTGCAAACATCTGTGAGGTCAAATTTGATGTTTCTTCTGGTGAAACATGGAATTGGGAGTTGTGACTAAAGGACCTGGGCTTCTATTGTCCTCCACTCTTTTTATGACGGAGTAAATTGGTAACGTAAATCAGGGATTAGAAATATTCTATCTCTTTGGCCATATTATCCCTAAAAGAAACTGAAAAGGTCAGATTCTCCTAAACTTCCAGAACGAATAATGGCAAACATGAAAAAAGCAACTACTGTAGGTACACGTTCACGTTTGAAGATGTCTGGTTTTCTAAAAACATGTTTTTCAATTTCTTGTGAGTATATAAGAGATGGAGCTGAGAGAATTACCTACAGTATGAATACAGACATTTTTATCATTCACAAATGAAGCTCCAGAGTATGACAAAGCAAAGAAATGGCAAGAATAATTATTTTGATGGTTGTCCATCGTATCCGATGATGACGGTTGTACTTTGTGCAGCTCATTCTGTTTGGAAGATGAGCTGCACAGAGAAACCTGTGGGGGAGAGCTTTTTGAT